ACAACTTTGTCGACTTTTGTTTCATAACTCGTTTGACTTCAAGACTTATGATACGGATAAGATAATTCCTTCTTGGATTTATGTTAACTAATATATGACATGAACTAACACATGTGGATATGAGTTGTAACATTAAGAGTGTATTTGGGCTAGTCTAGCCCAACAACTGATATTAGATTCCAACAATTGTGCGAGCTAGTTTTTTTATTTTTTTATTTTTGGGTTTGCCTCTTCCTCGACATAACAACTTGTATCAGAGGTTAGGTTCAACAGGATGAGTATGGAGAAAGCAAAGTGATGGTGCGAGGAAGTGCGCACACAAGAAGAAGCTAGTTGCGAGCTTCGGTTGCCATACTGCTCTAACAATATGGATGGTACACAATGATAATTGATCGTGGCAATGGTCACTTAGTTCGAGGGGAAAACCCGTGAATCGTGGTAGTGAGCCACGTGAAACTTAGTTCGAGGGTGAGATTGTTGGGTGTGCGAATAAAGTCCCACATTGGTAGCTGAAAAAATTGGGAGCCTAAGTATAAGGTGTAAGGATCTCTTAATAGTATGAGGCCTTTTGGGGAAAACCGTACAGGTTTGAGCTAAAACGGACAATGTCATGCTATATTAAGAGTATATTTGACTAGTTTAGAACTTTAGATCAAAGTTTAGGAATAATAAAATTTGTGATTGTGAATGCTTATCCTTTAAATGGTCCCTACACGGTGCAAATTTGAACTAGTCAAGCTAATAGGTTGCTAATATCGGATGATTAAACGAAGAAACATTCTCCGTGTGAATTTAACATATTAACGCAAGTACTTGACCATTGTAAATTGTAATCCAGCATCAGCAAATGTTCAGATATGACATAACAGAGCGAAAAATTAAATGTTCAGACGTTTTGTTATCTCACAATTTTCGAGGAGTGAGAAAGACCTAATTGAACAACAGTGTCCAATAAGATCATTGGGCTTCAAACTCGTCATTTAAATCCAATACTTTTTTGTGCGACATATAAATTTGTATATAAAAATTATCTAAAATAAAAACACATAGTAGATATGAACTTAACTTGAACCCATAAAATTTAAATTTTGGATCCGTCTCTGCTAAAATGTCCCAACAAACAAACAGAACACATATATCATATGGTTAATGTTTCATACTCTCATTCCATCACTGTAGATTGTTGTAAGCTTCAATTGTTTGCATTGGGTCAATTATTGTTGACAAGTACGAATATAGCCCCACATTCACTCATACATCCCCAAAATGACCCAATCCATTATTCTCAAAAACAATTCACAGAGCACACTCAACAGCCCAAACGTCCAAAATTGGGCTACAAAAAGGGGGAAACCAATATTTACAACAGCCCCATTTTGGCCTTTAAATTAAGACCATACACGTGGCTCATTCTCTGCCATTCATTTATTCATACTTCAGAAATCAGAACCCTCTGTCTTGTCAGGGTCGGGTCGGGTCAGGGCACTGGGTTCTCTTATGGTTGCGTGGGCCAATCAAAGTTGTTGGCGAAAAATTTGGGATGGACCTGTGGGACCCAGAGTAAAGTAAAATGATTGCCACATCAGCTCCGACCGCGAGAGCCATTGATTTGTGGTGGGACGGTTGAGATCCCCTGTCTTGAAAGCTCGCGAAGAACACTCTCCGTGGAAGGACGTTTTAGGCCCAAAGGAAGAGGCAACCATGGTTTGGTTATTGCCTCCTTTACTACTTTATCAATAACCTCCTCAGCCTGCACCACAACCAACAACCAAAATTTTACCGAAAGAACTTACAATCTTGAAAAGGATTAGCATTGATACATCGAAGCGTAAAGTTTTTACTCTATCAAGTTACTAGGTAACCTAAAATAGTTATAGGAAAACAGTGTAAGAGTGGGTTGATAATCAAGAAAAGAGAGCTAGTAAGCCGGTTACCGATAAAAATGGACCTTAGGCCTACCCAAGCCTCAAAAGCTAGCATGGTAAGGATTGTCCATGACGACCAAGACCATACAAAGAGACTACAACCACTCCATGAACCAACGTGAGAGACACTAATAGTTACAACTAATTAAACGTACAACTTAAATAATAAGATGAAATTCTTTTAACTTGTCATTATATGTAAATTAGATCCATTTTGAAGATGATAGACAAAAAGTTTAACGCAATACCTCCTCATTACACACATTTGTAGTTTAAGCACTATTATCAAAAGAATTATAAGAAAAGTTAAAAAACAATTACGTCACTGATTTTCCTTTCTAGTTCCAAAGGGGAAAATGAGACTGAAGTATCAATCTCCTAGTACAAATATCCACAAAGAACTCTGTTGTCGAAAATAGGATCCAAAATCTATGAAGATATCCATAAAAATCCGATTGTGACAAACTTACCGGGTGAAGATCAAATGACTTCTCTAGCATGCTATATCTATTCTGCATTCCGTTAGGCCGGTAAACTCCACCATTCTGCATAATCCAACTCACGTGCCATTAGGAACTCAATGCAAGAAATGCACTCACATTAAATAGCTCAAGAACATCACTGAACTGTACGAAAGAATCAAGTGGAGGTGGTATTGCAAATGTATTCACCTGAGGATATGGTGGATATGATCCTAATGATGGTGGCATGACAGGGGAGCCCCATGTATCAGCATGCAGCTGCATTATTACAAAACATGAGTTTTCAGCTTCGTATTCTTCGAGCTCAAAATTCTGTGACATAGGCAGAGACGAATAAACCATAGGTTCAACTGAACCCAGTATTTTTGACACGGAGTATAAATATATACGTAAAAAATCACTTATATTTCAACAAATACTAAATTCTGAATCCATCTCAAGCTACGATGAGCTCAATGATAAGAACCTTAAAAGTTGAACACATTATGTTTAAATCCTAGAGTTGTCCCGCGATATAGGCATGCCAAGCTAGAAGGAAGTAATTCAGCTGAGAACAAATGTTTACCCCTGGATGAGGATTCCAGTGCCAAGAATCTGCAGGCTGCCATGCCGGATAGTAAGGTGAACCCCACACTTGTAAACCATTAGGATAACTTGCTGGTGGTACCCAAGCAGGATATAATTGACCAGCCGCGGGAACATGATTACAGTGATATGGTGGGAAGGTCATGATAGGTGTATGATGAGGATAGCAGCCCCTTTGTACTGAATCTCTAGGTTGTGGATGAGGCCATTTCCTTTCGACTTCCTTTGGCAAAATTTGCCTCCGATGCATTCTGTATTTCTGCTTGGAAAGCAAACACACTATTATTGTCTAGCAAACGACATGTCCGTATCCAACTATATTTAGCTCAAGTGTTCAACTCTATTCCCTTGCCTCTCTACCTTCTCAAGGTAGGGGTAAGGCTGCGTACACACTACCCTCCCCAGACACTTGTGGGATTACACTGTGTTTGTTGTTGCTATTGTTCTTGTTCAACTATATTCCCTGATAGGATATGGAAAAATCATGCCGACATACTTAAAATGGCCAAGATTTAGTACTATTTTATTTCCCAACTGTTGATCATTTTCATTAAAATACATTTCAGCCAAATTGCATCTGACCCTGCTAAATATAGCAAAATGTTAGATACTGGCCCTTTTTTGTTATACTGCAGTAGAAGGTCAGGTTTCAAACATTCCCTTTCCACAGCAGACAAAGGCTTGTTTGGCTAATATTTAATTTTTAGCATTGGAAATAACTCAAAAGAAAAGGTCGAATAAATTGACAAAGAGCATAACTCACAAACCTGGAGATGGCTAGCTACGTTATGTCTCGTTATACCCTCCACTTTCATCAGCTCTAGTATTCGAGAAGGAATGGCTTGATCAATACCAAGTTGCTCTACTGCTTGAACAAACTTCTTGTGTAGTTCAGGTGACCAATCTACCTGAATCAGAAAGAGATATCAAACTCATTCCCCTGAATCAACTGATTCAAATTCCCGCATATGCAGGATAATTTGACCACTGCTCAGTGAAATACTATAGAGGTTGAAATCGCCAACACAAATATAATCTAGCTAGAGTCGTATACTGATTGCTATGTTTCATGCACTGTTTGAGAAGTTAAAACTTCAAGATAAGAAAAATGAGCTTTGCATTGATCTTACAAAATTTGAAGAGGATGTTCTATGATGTTCATGAACTTCTCAAAGCAACCGTTCATAAGACTAAGTTCATGAATGCAAGAGGAGGAAGATATACGCCACGCCACATCTAATATATCCACATCTCATCCCTTTTTCCTTTAAAGAAGAGAAAAAAAGAAAAAAAAGACCACATGATTGTTGAACTAGAGAAGCAATGACGAAATGTTTTTCAGGCCTTCAAACACAAAAGTGCATGAGGAACCTACGCAACTAGGAAAAAAATCAAACTGAGGTCAGAAAACAGCATTCTTGTACCTTTGGAGCCAATAGAAAACAAATAATGGCTTTCTTGGACCACAATATTATGGAACTTTGAACACATAATTACCATCATTATATTTCTATGAGAAACAGGCACCATTTCTTCCATCTTACCTTCATCTTCTTCTTATTGGTTTTAGTCCCACTTGAACTATGGGGAGCAGATGCTTTACTAGGTTCAGCAGAATGACTAGTGCGATTGTCAGGGCAGTTGTTACTTGGTGAAGAGGTAGCAATATCAGCCTCCATCTTTTGATGAGGAGATGAACCATTCTCCTCTTTCACAATAGTCTGTCCTTGTTGCTCGCGAGGACTTGTTTGGACAGTACTCTCAGCAACTGTATTGTTAAAAGTAGTTTCGACGGATTTAGCGTCCCCATCATGCTCCCCACTATCTTGTTCAGTTGAAAAGATGGTATGCTCTTGGCAATCTCCATCGTCCACTGACCTCACTCCGTGTTTCAATTGTGGGGTTGACGGAGCAGGGTATTTATCACAGCCTGATGAGTGTTCATTATTGTTGCCTGGTACTGTGGTAAAAGGTTCCGTTTCGTTTGAACTTTTGTCACCTGCTGCACTCTTTACTGGTTGTAGCTGTGGCACGGAAACAAGAGATTCTTTTACTGGTTTAAGCGATTCGGGCACATCTTTTTCTCCAGCATTGGATGCCTGCTACAACCAATAAGATCAGGATGTCCTCTCCACATAAAAAGTGTAATAGTTTGAAAGAATCACAAGGTGACCCAGTAAAGTCTTCGCAACAAACCTTGCGAACTACATGTTGCCAGATATTTTTGAGTTTATCATCTGATAATGATTTCTGAAGAAACTCGACTGCACCAAGCTGCAATACATCAACACAATCAACTTTTTTTTACATAATTACTGAAAACAAAGTGCTTCATTTTTTTCTTAAAAAGTGCTTCAAATGAAAGCTTGATCCCCAAATCTCACCGCTATACACTTCATCATTGTGCTAAGGGAATGAATATTTGATGTCACTGCAAGAAGTAAGCAAAATGGATTATTAGATATATTTTAGCTTTTAGAATCTTTAGAGACAAGTACAGTTATCTTTTTTAAGTTTCTACTAGAGAAGACTTCCCATTCTATACTGACCCCATAAATGCTCTAAACAATTAACAATGACAGACCAAAAGGAATAAATGGAAACTAAGATCTACCAAAAGAAGCATGGAATCATTCTCAGAAAAAACTTAGAATACGTAAACAAGTTATTTTATTTGGTGTTACAAGCCAGAAACTTTACGATTCCAGCACTTACAATTCTGCCAATATCATCATGTCGTCATAAACCAAGTCTAATTACAATACAACACTTATTTTTCAATATGTGTAGCACTCACTTATTGTTGGCAGATCTTTGGCACTCTCAAGAAATTGGAGAACTCCATCACTGTTGCCTGCAGTTACCTGTGTCAAATGATAGACAAGTTCATCGACAATTAGTATAACATTCTGACCTATGTTCAATTTTTATTGATCAACTATTGTCAATCGAATATCAATACGGGTGCCTACTGTTTTAGCTGGTATATAATAGCCTAAATTCCCAATTATAGCATTTACATGTTAAAATGGAATTATTATTTGAGAATAGTATCGACCTGCTGCTTTACTGCACATGATATTACTTCAACAAGCTAGCTCAAGCTCAACTGTATTATTAAAACTTAAATGAGAGAAAGTTTCAAGAGGAGCATAAATGAAACTAGTACCTCCACGATGGCAACATGAAAGTCCTCAGATTTGTTTGAGATTGCAGACAAAGCTTCATTCTCATTGCAGAATGAGTAAACTGCAAAAACATGAAATTTCAGGAAGATTTACGAATAGATACAAATCCATGACCTCTTCAAAAGCAGAAGATAAAGCAAAAGAAGCGGCGAAAAATAACACAAAAAATTTGGGACAAATAACAAGCTATGGACTTGAGCAAAATATCATCCTCAACTATAACTCTCGATAGTTAAAGAAAAAGGGCAGCCCGGTGCACTAAGATCTCGCCAGACCACAAGAGTCTATTGTACGCCGTCTTACCCTGCATTTCTGCAAGAGGTTGTTTCCATGGCTTAAACCCGTGACCTCCTGGTCACATGACAACAACTTTACCAGTTACGTCAATGCACCCTTTCTCAATAGTTAAAGAAAGAAGAATGAAAAACATTAGTATTAATAAAATTTACACCAGTAATTCAGAGTATTCTGCAAGAAACATGAATCACTTAAATGCTTTTCATCTTAAAATAGGAAACATGGAACAGAACACTCTATTTACCCTCAGTAATAAATGCAAAAGGTATTTCCATATGAAACCTAAAACTAGAAGGCACAATTAACATGGAAAACAAAATGCAAGTAATTGACCAAAAAATTTGTTACTAAAAAGGGATGAACAAGAAAAGGTAAACACCGGCTGCGAGTAAGTATTTTTCGAAGACTGCTACAACTAACCTATGTAATCCAATTTTTCAAGCCTTGATCTCATCTCTGAAGCAGAATTGCAGTCTTCATCAAGAAGTAGGACTTTAAGCCCCTTTGGAAAATCTTTCCAACCCAATAATTGATCATCCTCAGTACAAATCATTTCTAAAATGGCATCTTTTTCAGTCAGCCTTCCAAAAACGGTTACTTTATGAGCATCTAATCAATCTGCACACACCCCAAAATGAATTATCCTCAGATTTAAAATCTCTTTAGCCATAAGTTTCAGCTAAAATTTTCAAAAGTGGTATAATAAACAACAATCTTTAGAAACCACTCTTAAACCTCACAGCAAGTTTAATTCATAATGATAATATTTATATAAGTCTAAGAAAAAAGAGAAAAAAAATTAAAGATCAATCCCCCATTCTCCTACTCACCTTTTCAAGATTTAATCTTTAACATCATTTAACCAAAAACCAAAGAGGCAATCAAAAGACTATGCTTTTAGCTTTAGGCATAGGGTATAGCCGACGTAAAGCAACAAAAATTAACAAAACGCCACGTGAGAGATCTTCAATTTTTATTAACATAAAAAGACAAAAGTAAATAAAATCCATGTGAATACAGAAACATCACAATTCCAAGAACACCTGAGAGTGACCAAGAAAATGAAGAAATACAAAAAAATGTAAAAAACCTTAGACAAGTGGATAAACGTGGAGAAAACGCACAAACAAGTTCTTAACTTATTCTGCTTTAAAAAATCCTACGGATATAATGCATGTAAAAAAGCAAGCAAAATTCTATTATTACTAGTATTATTATATACCCAAATATCTCTTGGGAAATGAAGAAGACCAGCTCTTTTTTTTAATCGTCCTATACTGGTCGTTTCTTGATACCTGGGTAG